CCGAGTTGCGCCACAGGACGAAGGGCGCGCCGGAGGAAGAGGAGGTACCGGGCGAGCCGACTTCGAGATCCGGGTTGAGGGTGCTGCTGCTGCTGCTACTGGCGGGACTAGCGATGAGCTGCGAGTTCCAGCGCCCAGCAATCCGGTACGCCACCCGCCCCTCCGCATCCGTCACCTCGCCCGCAATCTCAAACGCATCCCTGCCCCTCCACCCCCTCGGCTTAAACGTCATGACACACTGATCCTCCGTCCGATGGTTCGTAATCTACGCCAGCCACGATCAGCCATCCAACCACGCAAGTCCAAGAAAACACAAAAAAACATACGATCATGTCCCCGTAATGGTCTATCGTGGGCGACCCAAGTATGAACCCCGAAACATTCGTCGTCACCTTCTTCCAGCTATAATGCTCCACGACCTTGCCCTCCTCCCCCGCCTTCCCAGGGGCCTTGGGGTACCCCGGCCCACCCCTCTCCTCCGGAATGAGGAGCTCGGCGTGCGCGATGCCCGTAGGCCTGATCTCGAACGACTTGCCCATGAACTTGTTCTGCGCGTCGACCTGAAAACATATCAGCGAAAAGACATGACACACCAGTGACCCAAAGAACGTACCTCGCCGTAATAGTGCCACGAAGGCGACTCCGCCCAACACGCAGAGATAGGCGGGTGATGGCTGACCTGCTCGGAGACATATCGATACTCCTTATCAAACCTCACATACTCAAACGTCTCGCTCTACCACATCCACACCAACCATCAGCAAACCACCCAAGGAGGACAAAAAAAGACGCACGAGCATAGGGTTAAACGGCTTGGCAATCCTCCCAATCGTCGACGAATAATTCGACATCGCAAACGCCGCCACAAACGCCAACCTCCTCAACGCATCCCTCTCCCTCGCCGCCGCATCCACTGTCCAAATCACCCCACCAATCAGCTCTCACTCTCAAAAACAAGACGAAAGGGAAAGAGCACTCACAACACTCCGTAAACTCCATATCCTCCGCCATCCTCTGCAACATACTCGTCGGCTCATTAAAGAAAACCGGAAAACTAATCTTCGTCAAGTCCTTCCCAATACTCCCCTTCAACACGCTCCACAAACTCGTGCTCGGCCTCTCCTCCCTCAGGTCCAGCTTTTCCCTCAGCCTCCCATACCCCTCATACGGCTTCATATCGCGCGTGAGCGTGTGCGGGATACTGGGGGAGGCGAGGGCGTCGGGAACGACGAGGTTGGGCAGCGTCCCGGACTCGATGGCGTCGAAGAACTCATCCTCTTCGTCCGTCTCGTTGTCCTCGTAGCTGCTGCTGCTGCGGATGGGGGGCGGGCGTGGGGTCGAAGGGACCATGGACAAGGTAACCGTATCCTGCGTCTGCGTCCTATTCGGCGTCGCCCTCTCCACAACCTCCCCCCCCTGCTTCGGCGTCGTCGGCACCAGCACCCCGTTCATCTCCGGGAAATACCCCTCCCCCTCCCCCTCCTCCTTGACCGCCCGACCCAACACCGACGGCCTAACCCTCACCGTCCCCTCCCCCCCACCACTCGCATCAAAAAAGCGACTCCCTCTTCTCCGGCTCCTCACCCTCAACTCCTGCTCCAACCCCTCCCCCTCCCTAACGACAGTCGCCAAACTCTCCTCCCAGAACCTCTGCCTCTTCCTCTCCCCCTCCACCCTCCTTCTCCACCAGGCTTCCCGCTCCCGCGCCATGTCCACGTACTCGTGTAGGAGGCCCTGGACGAGGGAGAAGGACTCCGAGAGGGCGGCTCCCATCTCCCTCGCCTTAGAGTCGGGAGTGGAAGTGGAAGTGATGGAGGAGAGAAGCTGCGCGGTGAGCTCCATCTGCGCGATCGTAGAGTTCCCCTGCAGCTCAAACGTCTCTTCATACGGCACCCTCCCTCCCCCTTCCTCCCCACTCGAGCTCTCCCCCTCCCCTTCCGCGTTCGCACCCCCCTCCTCGTCCCCCGCATCCTCCTCCTCATCCCTACGACGTTGGCCGGGCGCAAGAAGATCCGGACTCGCATCCTCCCCCCCCTCCCCCAGCTCCACCCGCGAGCTCGTCGCCGACCCTGACCCCCCACCCGACCCCCCAGGCGCACTGACCCCACCGCCCCGCCTCAGGAGCGTCCCAGACGAAAACCGATACCTTCCCTTCCTCCCCGCCTCGCTCCGTACACTCCGTACACTCCTCATCCCACTCTCATCGCTCTCCCCACTCCTCCTCACCCCCATCCTGCTCTCCCCACTCGCCACACTATTACTATTACTACTCTCGCCCCCACCCTCCCCCTCCCTCCTACTCCTACACCACTCAATGCTCCGTCCCAGCGCGGCCGTCCACCTCGCAGCCTCAACGGGGTGGTTCGCCTTCATGTACCACTTCTGCGCCGCCGCCCCCGCCGAGTGGTGTGTGGAGTGGTGGGAAGGGGCAGCGTGCACCTCGAAGCGGAGGCGGTCTGAGGGGGCGGGTTTGAGCACGGCGGTCTTCATGGAGATGCTCCCCCGCGAGGCGACGGTTTCGTCGGCTTGGTGGCGGTAGTCTGTGTGTATGCGTGTTTTGGTTAGTGGTGTTATAAGGGGAGAATGGAGAGGGAGGAAGGGAGCGAGTGGTACGTACATGAGAAAATCCCATTCTTGAGGACGAACCACCGGGTATTGTACCCCTTGGCGACGTTCGTGTACTTGTTGAGGTATCCCTTCAAGACGGGCGGCTCCGCGGCATTCTCCGGCGGGTCGATGAGGGTCGTATCATGGTTCGCGACTGTCCAAGGCCCAGTACCCAGTAAGTAACCTCATCAAGCAAAGAGCGCAGAGCAAAGAACGAAGAGGTGGAGAAAGGAAGGAGACGCACACTGCCTCAAAAACACCCTCACCCTCTCATCCCTCCCCCCACTCCCCTCCCCCGCCATCTTCCCCCTCCGATCCCTCACAAACACATCCGCCCCCGCCCTCGCCACCAGCTCAATCAGCCTTAGATCCTTCCTCCGTGCCGCCTCATGAAGGATGGCGCCCCCCGAGCCGTCGTCGAGGTACGATAGGTCGACGTGGCGGATGCGCGGGGAGGAGAGGAGGGAGAGGAGGGCGGGGGCGGGAGGGGCGGAGGGGGGGGAGAGGACGTAGGAGCGCAGGAGGGAGCGGTAGGAGGCGTTGAGGAAGGAGTGGGAGTCTGGGAACGGGGGGTGTTAGTGAGCAAAGGGGAGAAGGGAGAGGAGGAGGGAATACGTACCTTCGATGGCCTTGACGACCTCGCGCCCGCGAGCAACGTCGCGGCACGTCCGTCCCTGCGCGTCTCTCAGCGTGTCGTTGATGCTCTCCTGCTCAAGTAGTAGGTTCACAATGTCCACGCGGCCGAGCGAGGCTGCCAGATGTAGGGGTGTCGTCCCCGAGCCCGGGGGGTGGATCCCGTTGGGGGAGATGGCGCGATGGGAGAGCAGGAGGGCGACGGTGTCCACTGCGATATTCGGACTCAGCAAACACTACGCACGGAGGGGGGGAGGAGGGGGATTCTCACCTGAAGCGCATCGGACGGCGAGATGGAGGGCCGCTGCGCCCGTGTCGAGGTTCCCCGCCTGGCCGGCCTCGACGGATTTACGTCTGTCCTTTCCGATCTCCGCGAGGAATGGGTGGATGAGTGTTGGGTCACCTAGATAGGAGGGTCAGCGGGGATGGGGTTGAGCGATGGTGTGGTGCGTACCGCTCCTTAGGGCTTGTAGCAGCTTGACTTGGTACAGCGGCTCCCCGGCGGCGGGATTGTGATTTGTCGGGATCGCATCTGTGTGGATCCTCGTTAAAGAGATCTGGATTGGAATGGGGGGTGGACGTACGTGGATTTGAGCTGGACGTTGAGCGAATGGATTCTGTGGGCATCGCAGCCGGCGGTGAGAGAGACGTTGGGGACGTCGACGCCAGCAACGTTGTTGACAGGCACACTGGTCGTTACGTACTCTAGATCTGCTTTACACATGTTTGGACTGACCTTCGCGGCCCGAATCATACAAAATGTCAACATCGAAGCTTGCATGTCGGTCATACTGCCGACGACCAAGAGGCGGTACTTCCTTTTGCTGCCCGTATGAAGCGCTAAGCCAGGCGCTGGAAAGTGAATTGGAGGACGACAACACCGAGAGAGCCGAGGATCTGGACCACCACTGGACCGCCATGACACCTCCCCAAGCGATTTTCTTCCGTCTACCTTTACGAGCTTTCCGTAAGCCCCTCGCCCGACTTCGCGCTTCAGATATTCGACTCACAATGCCTCCTTCACGGTACCTCATGGCGTGGACCACGTTCTCTCGCCCACCCGATACATCCTCGAAAATTGCCTTAGGACCACATCAGCGAGACGAACACCCAAGTATCAGCATGTTACGTCCACGTCGCGTCGTCCAGGTTTTCTTTCTTCATACACGACCGCCTGGCCCATGATATCCGGATTAACCACTCAGGAGTACAGGAATGGCAGTGATATGGGGTTTCGATCCCTCAAAGATGAGGTAGGGGTCGCTCAGAGGTTCGGAGATGGTATAGTCGGGAGTGGTACCTCGAGCAGCGTAGGGCCGGTGAGTTCTCCGTCGGTTCTTCTTCTCAGACTTCGCTGATCCAAGGCGTGTAGACATGGACCTGTCACAAGATGTGACTTGAGTCCAAGAGTTTCCTAGCTTGCGTGGAACGTATGCCTGGCTGTGAGGTGCGTGTCTCTCTCGATCCAGAGAAGTACCCTAACCCTAACGTCTCTGGAACAGGGGAGCACGAGCCCAAAATCCTCCGCGTAGTAATCCGAATCCTCGCGCTCCCCAGACTCATTCTCCCACGTCGCGGGGATCCTGGAGTCCTCGCCTTCGACCCTAGACAGCCCCCTATCTATGGAAATATAACTGTACTGTAACAGTTTTGAGCCCTTTCACCGCGACTCTCTCTTTCTCTCCGACTCCGAGTAGCGTTTCTGGTGGGGCTGCTGGGACTCTCGGTGGGATGGATCGGCCGAGTTATGTAAGTCGCATGGCCGTGTGGCGAAATGGCATCGCGTCTGACTACGACCAGAATATATCATGAGGCGTCATCAGGAGATTGCAGGTTCGACCCCTGTCTCGGTCAATAGAAGTAATTGCATCGGTTATTTTTCCGCGGGCGGTGGTGTTTACATTTTTCCGGGTGGCCATCGATTCCGCTCTGCTATATCCAAGTTCCAACAGAGGATACCGGCATGTCCAGGCTCAGTTCCCGCGTCAGCGTGCTGAACTTGGACATATCCCGTGCTTGGCATGAAATTCCCCGGAAATCGAAAGATGTGGCACGATCTATGGGCATCAACGGGATTGACAACGTCAAAGAGGGGAGTTCGGGCCTTCCCTTGATATATTTCACGTTGGCTGCAGAATCAAGAGATCCGAGACCTCGTTCTAGCTGCCGATGCATACATAGCGTTACTAGCGGGGAAGTTCTTCCCCAGCTTCGATCCATATCGTGTAAGTTGCAAGAGGCGTCACGTCTGCCGTTCGTAGATGGCTTGGAGGCTCGCGCGAAGGAGCACAGAGCAAAGGGTATGAATCCAGTCATGCTTCATGCAATTGGCTATATCGGCCGCGAGGACACGATCCCTGCGGAGTTGATGAGGAATATCGCTGTGAGGAGGGAACAGATCAAGTCGATCGCGGACTTAGATTGAGTGTGCAGGTAGACAAGTAGTAAGGCGCGAGGGCTCGCGCGAACGACGAGATGAACGCGCCGCATGTCCTGATATTTTCCCAAACTCACTGTGAGGATGATGATGTTCGAAAATGGCTTTGTATCTGACGGAAAGTTTGGACCACCTGTGGGATGATTAACAGAATTTGCTGCTTCGATGATAGATGAGTAGCGGGAATGTCGGAGAATTGAAAACGGCGTGCCACACTGCCATCAAAGTACCGAAACAGTCAGCTTCCTCATCGCCGAGCTTTCTCGAGTTGCATCTCCGCCTGCCTCCGCGACTTTTGATCAACGTTCTCGACCGATTTGGTTGGAAAGTCTGCCTTTCCCGCTCTCGCGAGGCATCTAACCTTTTACGTTCATATCCAAAACTGTTGCAACACCTGGCTGAAGACCTCTATTCCACATCTATAGACGAGGGAAGAAATCATCATGAACCCCGCTCTTAGGCGCAGAATAGAATTCGAGGCGGGGACCACCAACGACGACATCCTATCCGATCGAGAGAGAACGCTGGCAAAGGTGATGCTTGCTGACATGGAGAGAGAGCTGTACTCCTTGGATCAGGAGATCGACCCACCTACCGCGAAGCAGGCCGAGATAGCGAGCGTTATATCGAGGTTTCAGATTGCTCTCGCGCCGCATAAGAGGCTGCCCACCGAAGCCCTGGTGGAGATTTTTATACATACAGTGGATGGTCAGTCCACGAGATTCCCTCCAACGTCCTGGCGGTGTCCATGGCTGCTGCGCAAAGTCTGCTCACGGTGGAGGGCGGTCGCATTGAATGAACCCTGCCTCTGGAACAGGTTCAAGCTTGATGCGAGGAAATTCGGCACTATCCCTATCCCAAAACTCATCTCGCTCGCGAAAGATGTCTTACCTCCAGCAGGGCCCCTGTTCCTCTCACTGGAAGAGCCTTTGAACGAAACTCGGAGCGGCTTTGCAATGCGGACAATACTCGATACGCTCGTCATCCCCCGCCTTGCCCGTCTGAAGGGGTTAAGCATCCAGACCACCATCTCATCATTTTCTCACCTTTTCAACACCCCATCACCGTCGCTCGCCAACCTCGAATCTCTCCATTTAGACCTCTGGGGTGCGTCCCATATCCCCGAAGTCGCAGGGCAGTTTTCAAAAGCGGACATCTTAAAGGGCGCCACTAACCTCAGGATGCTTGAAATCCGACCACGACTGCTACTCAATTCACGCATTACAAACTTCGTGACGAGCCTTCCCATACCGTGGCATCAGCTCACCTCGCTCGTCATTGGCGAACTTCTCGACCAGGCGGCGTGGGACCTTCATCGTGTTCTTGGGGAATGTCGTTCCTTGAAAACACTCCGCGCTAAACTGCCCTCTGTCCTGGCCGCTGACAAGCGCCTAAGTGCTGAGAACTATGTTCATAACCTCCCCGATCTCCAGCACGTCGAGCTAGAAGGAGCAACTGTGCTGTCGCCGTCGTTGCTAATGAATTTGCTCCCATGGAACCAGCTAGTTTCGCTCAAGATTACGCGCATCAACCTGCTTCCGTGCCACAGTTCCGATGACTCCAAGACGATGATCGCAGGAGTATATGATGTACTCCGTGAGTGCTTACAGGTAGAGGAGCTCTCAATCCATGCTCTTCACGAGCCACCGCCAGGATTCGCCACGACGTTTGTATTGCCTCGATTGAAAGACCTCACGTTGATCAAACAGTCGATCCCACTCCTTGACCAGCTTATCGCACCAGCCCTTACCTCCCTCAAACTCATGGGTCAGACGAATAATGTGTTCCCGGCTGGGATGCTTTGCGATATGATTACGCGCTCAGAATGCGCCTTGGCTACCTTTACCTCTTTTGGAATAACCCATTGCGACAGTCCACCCAACCTTCTCCGATTCCTGGCTCTCGTACCATCCCTCCATACACTTCGATTACCCGACGTGGTTCTAGACCCCCCATGCATACGTAGTCTCGCTAACGGGGAAATTCTTCCCCGCCTCCGATCCATATTATGTGGGCTTCAAGAAACGTCCGCTGCGGCATTCGTAGATGGCTTAGAGGCTCGAACGAAGGAGCAGATAGCAAAGGGTGTGAGATCAGTCATTCGTCATGCGATTGGCTACATCCCCGAGGTGGATTCCATGCCTTGGGAATTGTTGAAGAATGCCACTGGAAGGATGGAACAGATCAAAATCGAGTGCGGACCTGATTTCAGTCTCCGAATAATTTACGAGATAGGAGCGGGTGGCGCGAAGACGAGCTGGACGCATAATATGTGATTATATTTCCCTAAAACCTAGCGTGGAACTGATAATATCCGAACTAGGTTTACTGCTCGATTTGCGGAAAAAACGTCTGAGCCCTTGTCTGATGATAAACCGACGGTAAACACAAGAGATATCATGTCTCCTTTTGTCGACGATATCATGTTCCCTTCCGTCGATGATATCTCTTGTCTTTTGTAATATGCCGTGCGAGAATACAAATGGTTGAAGTGGGAGAACGTACTATGACTGCTGCCATCGAAAGCTTCCCGAAAGATGTTTGACCGTCGAACATGCCTCAACAGCAGCTGCGTTAGTCTTGGAGATAGAAGCTGATCCCTTGTACACAATCACCTCACCTTTTATACTTCTGTATTCCACCTCGACCATCCGATATCACTATGACGGTTCTCATTGCCTTGGCGCTTCATCGTTACAGTTTTTTGTTGGGCAGACGTATGAGCTGAGGAGGTGAAGGCAGGGGCTCGTGCAAAGACAATATGCTTAAGCGAAGAGGTCGACAGCGGTTGCTGATTATGGATGGCTTGTGCTTAGCGATACCGACTTGGTTTCCCGGCAATGTGGTGACGTGGACAAGCGGGATAGATCCTGTTCGCGATATTACTGCCCAACTGCAGTAGAAAGGTTCTTCCAAGAGAAGCTGCCCAACAGTGTTCCCGAGGATATGTAGATGGAAACGGAAGGAACGGATACATGTAGACCGTCAGTAGACGTCAGAAGGCGGCTGCCGAATTTTCATCTGGGGAGTTTATTTCAGACGTATCAAGATGTGGTAACGTCTACTAGCGATCGACACTTACCAGCAGCATGAAATCTTCTGAGCGGTTCAGTAGAATCCCTCAGCCCTGGATGTGCTGTTCGGCAAGGACCGTCATCAGAGGAAACCTTTGCTAACCTTTGGGAATGACCTCCATTCAAGCGAGAGACATCCATCGCATGTCATCACATGCATTCGGATGCTGTTCTGTGAGCAAACTCCAATTGGGACAAGATCCAAAGACTCGTCTGCTCTACACCACAACTATCGATTTGTCCTCAATTGTTTCAGACGCTCGATCAAAACAAAGCGCCGCAGCACAGCCACACCCCGCCTACGTTCCTCAGACTCAACGATGTCGAACGGCTTATACTCAACACTTTCTCTCCCAATTCCAATTCAGTAATCTGCATTTGATTGTTTTATAACCTCTGCAGGCCTCGCCGATCCACAGCAAATGGTGTCCAATCTATCAGGAGCCCTGACTTCTGATAGTGCTTGCGGTTGGGAACAGGCTGTCTAAGGTCCACGAGACGATTCTGGTCAACCATTCGCAGGTTTCGAGGATATGTATGGGTTGCCGAAGCCCTTGAAGGATGGAGATGGAGATGGAGATGGCAGGATTGAGGGATGGCGCGGTGGCGAGTGGTTGAGTTGCATGACTGGCCTAGCGATTTTGACGACCTTCTCCGGGCCATGTATCATTCATCGTACGTCGCCGGTCATTGCCTCCTCTTCAGCTTTTGCTGATATAGTACTTTAATCAACGCAGGCACTGTAGTGAACTCTCGCCTTCTGCAGAAATGGACGTACTGCTCACGTTCATCAGTGGCATCCTGCGCCTAAGCACGAAGTATATCATCCTCGAGCTTCGCAACAGGTGCCTCGTGCTCCTGTTGGCGCGTTTCTCAACTTCGTACTAAGATTATCTCGCGACGTCTCCGACGCCGTTCACGCCGTCAACTGGCAGTACACCCCGGATCATGACGATACACGCCCGTGTTCAATACCACCACGTTCACCCTCGTTCCAAGTCCGAACGTTACATAGCCTGACGGTGATGCATCTACTGCAAGCCAGCCTCAGCCCCCGCCCCTACCCCAGCAACCTCAGCGCTTGCCGTCCCAGTCAAGCTCGCCACGCCATACCCACCACCATCACCATTCCCATCGTCACTCCACCCCCTACCACCGCCACCGCCACCAAGCCCGTACCAATCCCCTTGACCGATCCAACCCAAAAACCCGACCCCCACCCCCACCCAGATCCTCCTCCATGATGCGCGCCATCGCCCTCGCCACCGAAACCAACGTCCCCACCATTATCCCCTACGAATCCGGTCTCCAGCCCGCACCTCCTCCCCGCGCCGCTTCTTCGA